ACTCTACGATACGGATATCGATTTCTATTAGGAGCAAATGCCAAAACCGATATTCGTTTTGTAAGCTACGGATTTTTTTTAGAGAGTACGTCAGTAAATAAATGGTGATAATAACCTTTCTCATTATTATTCCTGATCTAATTAAAACTGAGAACAAATCAATCAAATCCGAGCACATATCTGTCTTCGGGCACAAAAGTGTCAAAAGATTTTTTTGTACGCGGATCGGACACAAAAAGTCTTAAACGCGCACAAATCTGTCTTAATTCCGGGCACAAAAAAACTTTAATCCTTATCTTAATGACTTATATTAACATTAATTAGTACACAATTGATAGAAAAAAAGGAATAGAATGCTAGAAAATAAACGGGACGAAACGAGAAGATACCATTCAAAGCTGAAGAAATTTAGAATAGTGTTATATCTCTGCTTTGCTATACATCTTTTTCTCATAGTAGCGTGATCATTCTAATGACTTTAATGTCTTATTGATGAAAAAAAATAGAATATTCCTGACATAAAAAAGATCATTTCAACTATCTATTAATAGTTTGGTTTTGTACACATGAAAATGCGTGTTAAAGTCAAAATATTAAGGTATACGTTTTCTAGAAGTTTATTGAACACGAGAAAATTTTTTATAACTTTATAAGAAAAAAGTACTTAACTTTCCAAAAAAAATAAAATACAGACAACTTCCTCCACGGTCATCCTGACAGACATTGGTGAGAAAAGATTGCTGGATACCGCAGGATAGACATGGAGAACAAAATGCTTTTTCTTTCAAGCAACAAAATTCTGCCGGATCTCGTAGGAAAAAACTTGTGAGTTGAATAAGTCAAAAAGTCTTGCGATGTTTCTTACCTTTACGCAGGATTTTTTCCATGATGACTCTACATAAACTATGCAGGGTTCTGTCAGGGCTGACAGTATAAAAATCCTGCGTAAAGGTAAGAAACATCTCCAAATATTTTAATACCGATAACTCGCGGGATCCTGCATGAATTTTGATTATTTTTTTCAGTGGGTATGTTAATGTTTGCTCTCTTTTCAGAGATTGTGAAGTAACAAGCTTATTTTTTAGTCTACGGTAGAGGATGAAGAGCGTTTTGATAAATGTAACCAATCAAGATTGCTTTTATTTTTATTATTTTACCTATAATTAAACGAAAAAGAAATATTTTCTCTTCGCTTTTAAATTTAATCTTTAATAAATATAGAACCTAATATCACAAGAACAACAGTAAAATTTACAAAGAAAAAAGTTTGAAATAGCTATTTTTTCATACGTTTCTTTTTTACACCACTATTTGTACTCTTAGCAAGTTTAGCATCAGTTGACGTAGTATCACTGCAAATTGGAAAAAAGATTATAAACATTAACACTTTCTTCAGTTAAAAGAAAAGCAAGACACTTACATATATAAGACAGGTGCATCATCATCATTCTCTTCATTTTCTGACAAATGTTGATGTTTTTTGACACTTACTGTTTGTTTATCCTTCGATTTTGTAGCAATAACAGCCGATTGAGATGATGACGTGTAGGACGATGACGAAACAGTAGCATTATGACCATTTAGTTTAACTCTAAGACGATTCACCATTGAAGTCGGACGTAAACAAAATGTAGGAGCATGTTTTTTGATCGGTGTTTTCGCGAACGGTTGCTGCTGTTGTTCTTTTGGCAGTGGATAGAGAACGTTCAACGGATAATGATGATGATCGGGAAATAGTCTTATTAGTAGCTAATGGTGGCGATGCCATTTTTGTTGGTGATAAACTTGGTTTTCTGTACGTGGTTGACCAGTTGATGTTGATGTGGAAGGAAAAATTGTTGTTTTTGCCACAGACACTTTTGGACATTTTTGTGTTAGTTGCTGTCGTATTCCTAATTTTATAACATCTTAATCAATTTTAGAACTGTTTCTTGTTGCTACAACATTATTATTTAATAAACGGCTTACTTAATAACAGCTTACCATCCCTTCAGCTTTTTATCTTTTCAATTTTTCATCGTTTCAAGTATTCATCCTTTCACCTTCATCCTCTCCCCACCCACCCTCTTACGTTAACAAAACGATGCTGATTAGCTCTTACACTACGTGTGTAAAATTGTTCAGTTCTCCTTCTTGTGCTTAATTATCGCGTAATTAATATTTTTTTCGCCCTAAAAGTTCGACCCTGAAAATCTTAGAGATCAGTTCCACACAAACCGATCTCAGACATGTCAATGCACTGACTGTGTTCTAAAGGATTATGCTTTCCTTCTTCTTCTCTCCCTTAGCCTTACATGATCTGATTGTACCCAAGTCATCGTATAATATATGAACTTTTTCGAATGATAGTATAAGTCAACAATCGTACAGTGAGTGCAAAAGTAATCGGACACTGCAAAACGTTTTATTGCCGACTCACTTGAACAGAGCAGCGGTACATCTATTAAATTTCGCATTGCTTTTTGCTTTCAATCTCTTTTCTAAAAGTTTTTGATACAACAGGCCTAAATGAGACAGAATTCTGGACACAATGAGCTATTGAAACGTCGAAACAAGAGCTGAGTTACAGATACACTATTGATATTAACATTCCACTTTCTTAGGACAATCACAGTTTTGTCACGTCCTAGAGTTAAGTACGTTCACTAAAAATTTTGTCTATTTCTGTAATGTTCTAAGTATAAATGATCTCGGTTTTAAGATCAGATAATCTTTTTCGCTGCAATTAAAGCTCAGACTCATATTAGTCAGATATTCTGAAGTCTTTCCAATTTCACCGTCGAAAAACTGTTCGATTCTGGAATTAATCCAGAAAATAAGTATCGAGTTAGGTCACCATCTTGCTTAAAACCTTATGGAATGAATAGCACCGCGATACATCCTTTTGAACGGTGAAGACTGCAAGTCTACATCACTTTTTATTCAATAATGCTTTGCTTCACTATATTTTGAGATGGATAGTACTAAATATTTCTCCTATATGGCGCTTATATAACGCAACGGCACATTTTATTGCAACCATTATTATATCACTTTTTATTTCACACCATACATAAATGTTATTCCTAATAATAACAACATCCGCCCACTGTACTCCACCCTCGACACTACACTTATTTGTCCTTTGTTTCTTCAGTAGTGCTAATCAATCGGTTGGATGGCGATATTGACTGATGATGTACTGTCGTCGTGCCTGTGTTTCTTGATGTATACTCCAGTTGATTTTTGAAACTTTTACTACTCACGAAGAAACTCGAAACGCTTTAGCATTCTAATACTAGTCTTCTGTCCTCTGTTTTTTGCTAATAAAAATTTCAAAAATCAAGTGGAGCATACGTCAACAAACACAGACACAACGACAGCATACGACACTAACATTTTTTAGAAAGTAGAAAGGTAGAATATTTTTATCTTTTAAATATTTTCTTGATTGATTAAAACATAGAAGAAGATACAAAACAAAACGTAACATTATCCATCTTAATTTTATCTTCAGTAATGCACACGTACAGCGACACTGGAATTTTTAACAGTTAATTATTTAACAGCCCACTGGTTACATTTATTCAATTAATGGCAACATGTCCGATTTTTTGTGTTACCACGAATCAATCACACGAAAGAATATTAGAATTCGTTTGAACGTACACCACAAAATTTGAGCCGATTGCCTCTCTGGAGACTTCTGTTCCTGATTATACTTTTGAAATGTTTTATGTTCAACTTATATTTATCTAGTAACATCATTTGAATCTATACAGCCATGACCTATTTTGAATATTAGTTTGTAATTAATTAATTGCCGAAGGGATGACAAGCTGAAAGGATAAAAAGCTAATAACAAATATTCTATTTATTCGAAAAGTTTTCAAATTAATATTATTTTTCCATCGAAAACTTTTTGCGCCATCTTGTTTCAAAATTTTTCTTAAACTTTCGGTAGTACCCCGGGCCAAAAATAGAAAATCTTCTGGGTTATCGCGTGTAATGAATACGAAAAATCACTTTTCAGCAACTCTAAACCAACTTTATTTTTTTTGTTCCGGTGATATGGAATTTATTAAGCCAGAAGTTACATAAAAATGAAAAATTTTATGAAACTTGTAAAAGCTTTCATATAAAGTTTAGTATAGCTTTTAGAGAAATATTTTCTTAATTTGTCTTTTAAAGACCTACTGTTGTTAATTAAATTGGTTTAATTCATCAGTTAAGGTAAGTGCATATATCTCTAAGAGGGTTGTTGCAGTAGTATATTAGTATAAGTCTCATAGTGGCATATGTTGAACAGTAGGAATAGTCATATCAAATTATCTCTCCCTCAGAGACTCACATCTCACTTAGAGACTTGTATATACACTTTTAGAATAAAATTCCATATCGGCTTGTCCAAGTGTTACGAAATTACTTTTTTTCAACTTTCACGTGCCATAACTTTCTGAGAATGCTCCAAATGCAATGACGCTTTTACCAGAGGTAGACGGTACCGAGTTTTATCACGTCCGAAAATTTCGTTGAGTTTGGTTCATCCCATAGGGAGTTATTAAAAAAATAACGGCCGTTACGGAATTACCGAAAATGGACTTTTTTTTTCAGTGATGTCTAAGTTTTACATTTTTCTGCTCAAT